TATTAACATTTGTACAGCTAAGGGATTCACATAAAATATAATATTAATGACAGTAATACCATTATTAATTTAAATATTAATAATCATATTTATCATACTAATAATTGTAATAATAATTTTATAATTGTTCAAACAATATTACATAATTTAATTTAATTTAATGAAATATTTAATCCAATTCATAGTTTACATCTTATGTTATTATTAGCATCTGTTTTACCTACGAGAGAGAGGGGCCGAGTGCAGGTACTCACGTTCCTGTGCACTTGACCCATCATACCGTTCCAGGACCCGTCGGCCAGTCTGATGCCCCACAGAGAGTCTGGCGGACGAACCAACTCGTATCTGCGAATTGGTTCGCAGATACTGTGATGCTTGTTGATAAATTTGTATTTCTCTTTCTGTCTGTCTTTTACAATTTCTCTGTCTGTCTGTGTGTGTCTGTCTGTCTGTCTGTCTGTCTGTCTGTCTGTCTGTCTGTCTGTCTGTCTGTCTGTCTGTCTGTCTGTCTGTCTGTCTGTCTCTCTCTCTCTCTCTCTCTCTCTCTCTCTCTCTCTCTCTCTCTCTCTCTCTCTCTCTCTCTCTCTCTCTCTCTCTCTCTCTCTCTCTCTCTCTCTCACACTTAAACTCAATCAAGTACATTAGTATTTCCTCCCTTTAGAGTTATATGGTTCATTAAGATATATAGTATTTGTGTATATATATTTTCTTTACCTCTCCCACTATATGTTCGAATGTAAACCTAACTCTGAACGTTTATTCTACCGACACAAAAATATTATAAACTTACTCAAAGTTCATTTTCTCAGCAAAAATGTCCAGCAGGTTGCCCATGGGTCCAGTGATCTTAATGACTCCATTCTCTCCGAGTGTAAATTTGGTCCAGGGGATCCACTGGTAAAGTCATGAGGGATAATTACGTTTATTACTAAAACAAATTAATAACTGTAAGCTATAAGAATTAGACATTTAAACTATTTAACGAGTTTTTTAAACTCTAGTGAGGAATTATTCCCTCTTCTTGTCTCATGACTAGAAGAAAATACACCAAGACATTTTCATACCTTTCATCATGTTCTTTCCTAAAGAGTATTCAGGAATTTGGCTCCAGCTCCTGGACTCTCGTTTAATAATTTTTGCCTTTTCATGTAATCAACACAAAATTCTTTGTTTATTGAATCATTTGAATATAATTTATTTCCTTTGATATCTTTAAAATAAATTAAGGGCAATTTACAAATCGTTTGCATGTCAGGCCACTAGAACCTAAACATGTTTGTGCTGTATTGTGCACCATTACCATACGGGCTCACCATAGCCCGTGCTACTTGGATCTTTTTGTTCCGGGTAGCGAAACTTAAACAACAACAACAACCTGGACCCATTTATGCAAAAGGTGCTTATGCATAAACGCTGATTAAAAACATGTATTATATCTGCTGTAGCAACTTGCAACCTCATGAAATACATGATTAAATCTATTATTTGTACCTTGTCTTCGGTCCTGTGTGGCAATGAGTATAAGCAGAATTCTCACAGTAATACGACCTAAGTTAATTACACCGATTAGGCAAAATTTTATTTTAATTTTATTACCAATGTTAATAATTAGGGTAATGTGTATACTTTATACTAGACTTCAATTAAAGAAAATATTTTAAGAATGTTTATTCGTACTAATGAAATATACTATTTTCCCTCTAAATAATAAAATAAATAAATCCTTCAATTCCTCTCCACATTGGCTTGTGTATAAATATGGACATGGACAAACCTGTTTATATTTACACCATAAAGAACCAGAGGAGATCGTACTCACTTCCTCAGCAGCAATCTTAACTCTCGTCTTAAGTGGTGGTACAAACATCGCACAGACCTGAACTTGTCCTTCCACACTGCTGGCTCTGTAAAGACATATATATATATATATATATATTATATATATATATATATATATATATATATATATATATATATATATATATATATATATATATATATATATATATGCGAACAAGCCTGAATGGTCCCCAGGACAATATGCAACTGAAAACTCACACCCAGAAGTGACTCGAACCCATACTCCCAGGAGCAACGCAACTGGTATGTACAAGACGCCTTAATCCACTTCTTCTTAATCCACTAATCCGCCTTAATGAGGTGATAGCCTCGGCTATCACCTCATTATGTCCGGTCGTGATGGTCAAGTGGATTAAGGCGTCTTGTACATACCAGTTGCGTTGCTCCTGGGAGTATGGGTTCGAGTCACTTCTGGGGTGTGAGTTTTTAGTTATATAAATATATATATATATATATATATATATATATATATATATATATATATATATATATATATATATATATATATATATATATATATATATATATATATATATATATATATATATATATATATTATATATTTATAACATATAAATTGTAATATACACGGAATGAACGTTGTTCTTAATAATGGAGCCTATGAGACTTCTCTGTAACGTTTATGGAATGGCTAAACTATTTTAAACATAGTACTCTCTTAAAAAAGATGCTTAGTTTACTGTTAAGTATTTTACCGGGTAATATTGGGAATATATTATTATAGTCAATAGTGTAAATGTCTTTCTTTTTATTTTATCCTTTAGAAACACAATCTATAAATTTATCTTGAAGATGTTGATAATAGCAGTTTGACTGCACAATATAATGATGACTACTGTAAGGTTACAACTACTGCATTATTGCCTAGCTGGGTTTTGTCTTAATTATGCTCATGTTTTTTTCTTATTTGCTTCTGTTCGATATTAAATGTAGTAAACTTAGTCTTCCCATACTTTATCTTAGTGGCTCACTCTGCTATGGAAATGAATTCCGTTTGTGTTTTAGACTTATGTTACCGAGCCTCATCCTGTAGGAGTGTCTTTTTTAGCCTAACCCGCCTCCACCTGTCCTGCGGATGTTTCTTCCTTTAACACTCTTGCCTCGTTCCGTCCATCCTCGTCGTTAGTTTAATCTGCCTCGTACCATATTACAATCCGCCCGTTATCCTACCACAATAGACACCAGTCCTTAAAATCCCACATGTAGGGAATATATCCCAGCCGGCGAGCAGGTATCACTGTTACATCATCGTGGTGCCATCTGGGTACAATAGTGTGGAATAAACAGGCGATGAGTCACAATAACGTGGCTAAAGTATGATGACCAGACCACACTCTAGAAGGTGAAGGGACGACAACGTTTCGGTCCGTCCTGGACCGTCGACTTGAGAATGGTCCAGGACGGACCGAAACGTCGTCGTCCCTTAACCTTCTAGTGTGTGGTCTGGTCATCAGTGTGGAATAAATTATCCCAAATCCCAACATAGCGTAATATTCCTGCGCCCGACGTCACGCCCTGCCGTCACCTCACCTTGTGTGGACCTTCCCGGAGCTGGGTAACATGTGAGCCTCAAGCCTTCTTCACTCAGTCTTATTTATACGGCATCAAACCCTCTAAACCCAGACTTTAAGAAGATTCCTTTAACACTGCGACTGTATCATGCAGCGTGTCATTTATACAACATTCAGAGATCCCTTCGCTGTCAATTGACAATAAATATTTGGAGGAGAATTTACTGAGCATCAAAACTATTACATATTTCACGGATGAGGTTGGCTCAGTCACCATTATTTTCCCTGTATTAACCATTAAATATTTAGAAAATGTGTCACGCTTTGTGCATGTTCGCGAATGAATGAGCGATGAACCTTTGTTACCTGGTTGTCACTTTGTATGCAAGAAAATTAAAAACTCTCCAACCATGCACGATGAGGTGCAAAATCGTATTCATTTTCACGAATGAATAAGCGCCTAAACAGTGCAATGATGATGAACATTTATTACAGAGGATATTTCACGGACAGTTAAAACTCAATTTTCAACTCCCCGATAACACTAACATTAAACACTGAAGTAAATTTTCTTTTTTTTGTATCAACATCATTAAATGATGAAGCTATGGCGATGTTTCCTTTCTAAGAACGATGGGTGGGGCTAAATCTCTGGCTTGATAATTAAATCACAATGAACACCAATGAACACACTCACACATTAAATATATATATATATATATATATATATATATATATATATATGCGAACAAGCCTGAATGGTCCCCAGGACATATGCAACTGAAAACTCGAGTCACTTCTGGGGTGTGAGTTTTCAGTTATATATATATATTATATATATATATATATATATATATATATATATATATATATATATATATATATATATTATATATATATATATATATATATATATATATATATATATATATGTCGTACCTAGTAGCCAGAACGCACTTCTCAGCCTACTATGCAAGAGCCGATTTGCCTAATAAGCCAAGTTTTCATGAATTAATTGTTTTTCGACTACCTAACCTACCTAACCTAACCTAACCTAACTTTTCGGCTACCTAACCTAACCTAACCTATAGAGATAGGTTAGGTTAGGTTAGGTAGGGTTGGTTAGGTTCAGTCATATATCTACGTTAATTTTAACTCCAATAAAAAAAAATTGACCTCATACATAATGAAATGGGTAGCTTTATCATTTTATAAGAAAAAAAATAGAGAGAAAATATAATAATTCAGGAAAACTTGGCTTATTAGGCAAATCGGGCCTTGCATAGTAGGCTGAGAAGTGCGTTCTGGCTACTAGGTACGACATATATATATATATATATATATATATATATATATATATATATATATATATATATATATATATATATATATATATATATATATATATATGTCGTACCTAATAGCCAGAACGCACTTCTCGGCCTACTATGCAAGGCTCGATTTGCCTAATAAGCCAAGTTTTCATGAATTAATTGTTTTTCGACTACCTAACCTACCTAACCTAACCTAACCTAACTTTTTCGGCTACCATACCTAACCTAACCTATAAAGATAGGTTAGGTTAGGTTAGGTAGGGTTGGTTAGGTTCGGTCATATATCTACGTTAATTTTAACTGCAATAAAAAAAAATTGACCTCATACATAATGAAATGGGTAGCTTTATCATTTCATAAGAAAAAAATTAGAGAAAATATATTAATTCAGGAAAACTTGGCTTATTAGGCAAATCGGGCCTTGCATAGTAGGCCGAGAAGTGCGTTCTGGCTATTAGGTACGACATATATATATATATATATATATATATATATATATATATATATATATATATATATATATATATATATATATATGTCGTACCTAGTAGCCAGAACGCACTTCTCGGCCTACTATGCAAGGCCCGATTTGCCTAAAAAGCCAAGTTTTCCTGAATTAATATATTTTCTCTATTTTTTTTCTTATGAAATGATAAAGCTACCCATTTCATTATGTATGAGGTCAATTTTTTTTATTGGAGTTAAAATTAACGTAGATATATGACCAAACCTAACCATCCCTACCTAACCTAAGCTAACCTATCTCTATAGGTTAGGTTAGGTTAGGTAGCCAAAAAAGTTAAGTTAGGTTAGGTTAGGTAGGTTAGGTACTCGAAAAACAATTAATTCATGAAAACTTGGCTTATTAGGCAAATTGGGCCTTGCATAGTAGGCTGATAAGTGCGTTCTGGCTACTAGGTACGACATATATATATATATATATATATATATATATATATATATATATATATATATATATATATATATATATATATATATATATATATATATAGTATTTATTACGGTATATTAAAATAAGAGTGGACAGATTTAGTATCATGTAATTTATTTGAAGTTCAAAGCCATTTTAAATAAGCTGAGAACAAGATACATGAACACGAATGAATATAGATAGAAAATAGTTTTGGACATATTTTGCCAGGTCTCTGAAACTTATACAGTAAATTTTCACTGACAAAATATATTGAGGTAAAATATAATATATATAAATATTCCACTATCGACTAGTTAGCTTCACGCATGTCCACGATTATATCATTTGTCATGGTGGGTTGGTATCAGCGGGTTTGTCTAGCAGGAAGTGAAGTTGGTGACCTGAAAATGTTGAATACTTTTGAAAAAGTAGTGGATTAGTGATATAGGTTTTGTTTTTGTATGTGTATATAAAGTGCATTCAATTGGTATACATTTCCTAACACAGTTCTACAATGTTTTCAGCAAGGCAACTTATAACAAAATATGAACATATAACAGCCTCCTGTTAAGACATTATATAAAACGAAAATAGAGCTTAAGTAAAAACAGAGGATTGTTAAGGAAACTCTAAGAACATACAATTTCTCCAGATTGTTATATCTAAAACTGTAAAACAGAAAGTTTATAACCAAATTTGATCTAATCTAGGACTAATATTGTTCACGATAGTGAATAATATGATATAAATCCTCAACACTAAGATTATTTATATACTGTAAAATGTTCTTTCGAATTATGATTATTATTAAATATTTGCACACTTTGCTTAATTAATTTATTTTAAATAACGAAACAAAAGCACTTATGTATATGTTAACTATAATGCAAACACAAAAAACGTATCCTCAACACAAAATTTGTGTTGTTCTTCTTGCAAGTGGTATCTTTCAGAGACATGTGTCCTTGGGTTCACCTTTACGTATCACAGCGTAGACGGCTGGGGACCCAAGACCTTGTGATTACTTGGTGGGAGTGAGCTTCTAATCGAGCGTACACACGGTAACCCAAAATCTCAATCAGCAGCACCGGAATTCCTGCTGCTAACCCTATAATCACATAAAATACCGTTTTAGTTCACTGAACCAGTCATGTGATAGGTTTTACGAATAATAATTAATGACAAAACGTGAAGGCCATTGGTATTAATCCAGTCTTCATTCACCCATTGATATTAATCCAGTCTTCATTCACCCATTGGTATTAATCCAGTCTTTATTCACCCATTGGTATTAATTCAGTCTTCATTCTTATTGGAATTAATCCAGACTTAATTCACCCATTGGTATTAATCCAGTCTTCATTCACTTCTCTGTGGCTCAGACTTTCCAATGGAAAAGTTTGCCCTTGACTTACCTACAGCTAGGACAAAAAATGGGCCCGAGAGAGCCTCAAGGTTGAGGGCCAAAATGCCGTCCCTCTTGTCTGAGGTGGGCGGCCGCAGGCACTGGCTGGTGTTGGTGATCTCTGTCCCCATCCACCGCTCCAGCAGCCCAGCCTCCTTTGCCATCATGATACTACAGAGAAAAAAGAGGCAAGAGTTATTTTTGCATCCAGACAGGTTCTGAAACAGGCGGTGAAGCGCAAAAGGAGAAAAAATGATATTATTAGAATGTGGCTTAGAATGAATGACAAATATAAGGGGGAAAATGCTAAGCTAGAATGTATACTTCGTACTTGGAAGGAATAGCAGGACGATTTGGAGTTTGAGGATAGAGTGAAGGAACAGTGCTCAAGCACTTGGACCTCGATCCCCAGTGGCCCAAGTGGTTAGGCACCGTTCCAACACGATCCTCACGCCTCAACTCGTTGTCCTCATGTATGTTGCGTGTGTCGTTCAGTCACTCTGGCTATTAGCTTCCAAGTTATAATTACCTCACCTTTGCTTTGTAGTGCCGATCACGGTAAAAGGTAGAACGAATCAAGAACTCTTTTTTAGTACGACAATGAGAGATTTAATATTGAAATTTGAGGAAATTGTGCGACAGGATGTCCAGAATTAATCAAAGTGTTAATTTGCAGTCTGGTATTGCTTGGCAGGGATAATGAGAACATTTGAAATTTTTCCAACGAATATGGCTGACTAGTATGATTTATAACGTTGAATATAGTCAAGGAACAATATGTAATGAATGTGTCCTCTTAATGGGATGAAACTTGATTTCGAAGGGATACCTTATTCTGATGAGATGATGGTGATGGGAACTGCATTAACCGTGATGATCTGATACTGATAGTAATGTGGTTAATGTAGTCAAAGCTCTTAGAACTGCTTTCGTGGACTATCTTAAACGATGCTACAGAAGGAGGTACAAACATGGATGATCATAGAACAAGATTTATTCTCGAGATGATGAGAAGAATAACCGATAGTGATGCTGAAGAACTGAATAAAAGTGATTGCATCATCTAAATATTAGAACTGATAGTTCACATACCCTTATAAGTTATTGATGTAACTGATATATATCTACAAAAAATATGACTCTTACTTATGAATTTTTTTTTTTAACTTTACTGTTTCTCCCAAAACATTTTCAAACATAATACATTTGAGAAGTAACTTTACATTTGGTCAGCTCTCGAGCGATAGGAAGAGTTAGCCTTGAACGCCAGAGCCATCATAGCGTTTGTGTAAACTTTCTGGCTGGCAATGTACAGGTGACACTTCCCAGTTGTGCTGTAAAGAACCAAGTATTATTGTGTGGTAGTGGAGCTGCGAACGTGTTCTAATAATGCAGCTGCAAAGATCTATATAAAATAGTCACTAATAAAGCTTCTGGGTGTGAATATTTATGCAAACTCTCTAACATCATGTTAGTATATATTTTTACAAATAAAATATAATACTTGTCATTAACATTATCGTTATTATTCAATGTATAAATAACCAAACACACACACATTTGAAAATAAAGATGAATGACCCTCTATCAATCACGTGAAAACAGAATAATAAATAAAAATAATTTGAATTAACCTGCTGGGCATATATCAATATATTTAAAAATTTTCAAGAATCTGCAACACATTTTTTTTATATTTTACCTGAAGTCCCATGACATGGACTTCTTCATGGAGGTCTGGTCGCAGAGGGCGGCGTACTGGCCGGAGGCGACGGCTCGACGCGCCTCCCAGCAGTCAGGGAAGGTGCCGGACATCGCCGTCACCACCTTCTGCCTCACCGGGTCTCCAGAATCCTGTACTCCAACCAGAGCTGTAGACTCATGCATGCTGATTCATTTAACATTAATCCTAAGAAACCAGGAAATGTCTGAAAATTCGGTATGACAGTGTGGACGAGATTAAGCAATTAAAACTACGGTAAGCAACGGTGAACAGGTATCTTTTAAAATTAGCGTTTACCATCAAGTACTTTGGCATCATGGAGCCAGCCTCCAGTCGCCAGGGCAGGTGAGTCTGGGCCACCAGGTCCGCCAGGGAGTCTATGGGGATGGTGACCCGAGGCACCGTCAGCATGGCCGTGAGGATGCCGCTGTAGCAGGACGTGAACACAAAGGACGCCAGAAGCCACGTGGTCGCTATCAGGCGGCCGGCGTCCCTTCTAGGCAGCCACTTTGGGCCTGTGAGAGGGATATTAGAACGAAGCGAGAAGAATGAGAGTTAGAAAGACCAAGAGTACTTAAGAACTACTATAATAGTGCCTATACTGAATATTAAAGTATTTAAATATTGTCAAAAGGTTTTAATTTTGTTATATTTTTGTTAAATACAGATTTAAAACAATTTTCATTATCGCTGCGACTGACATACATTTGTCTTATTCATTAAACTTTCTCATACAGTTGTACTGTAGAACATCAGAAGAATGTTCAGTTAATTGCATTTCTTTGCTTATCTCACGTATATATGTCAATATTGTGTCAGAACACAGACACAACCAATGCAACATCTTCTGCACTCGTAGCAAGTTAAGATTTAAGACGATGGCGACTTGTCGTAGGCGATAATGGAGACATATTCCAGAGTAAAGCTCTAATGTATGTGAAGATCTTTCCCTTAAGTTCTGATGATACAACGAACGTTGAACTTGAAGTGGTTTAATTTAACCAGAAGCTTTAAAACCTTTTTACCTACTTAACTTATCAAACCAATGCACATTAGTCCAAATATGCTTCAATATTACTGTGCTTTAAAATTCACTAAAGTATCCGTATTTTGACGATATTGTCATAGCGTAAAATCTGAGGTGCAGTAAGTGTGAGGACAGGTTGGATATTCAGAGTATACAGATGGTTAAGTTGGATCTATAGGGTATACATATGGTGAAATTGGGTCTACAGGGTATACAGATGGGGAAGTTGGATCTATTGGGTATATAGATTGTAAAGTTGGATCTACAGAGTATACTGATGGTGAAGTTGGATCTACAGGGTATACTGATGGTGAAGTTGGATCTATAGGGTATACAGATGGTGAAGTTGGATCTACAGGGTATACAGACGGTGAAGTTGGATCTATAGGGTATACAGATGGTGAAGTTGGATCTATAGGGTATACTGATTGTGAAGTTGGATCTATAGGGTATAAAGATGGTGAAGTTGGTTCTATAGGGTATACAGATGGTGAAGTTGGATCTATAGGGCATACTGATTGTGAAGTTGGATCTATAGGGTATACAGATGGTGAAGTTGGATTTACAGGGTACACAGATGGTGAAGTTGGATCTACAGGGTATACAGATGATGAAGTTGGATCTATAGGGTATACAGATGGTGAAGTTGGATCTACAGGGTATACAGATGATGAAGTTGGATCTATAGGGTATACAGATGGTGAAGTTGTATCTACAGGGTATACAGATGGTAAATACCGTCGAGGAACATCATCTCGAGATTTCAATACACTTTCTTGACCTCTCGTTACATCATCTGTACTAACTAGAATCATGCTAGAGCATTCTAAGGACGATATAACAGTACAGCAGTTCCTGCAGGGAGTCCTGCTACACTCACTATCCTGTGTGATGGTCTGAAGGATCCACGTGGGCATCTTGTCTATGAGGTTGCTGGTTGAGCAGCCAAACACCTTCCCCTCTGCCTTCACCACCAATGTCATGGTAATTCCGATGCTCACTGCACTACACAGAATCAACAGCCACACCTACATGCCGACCAGCAGGAATTAAGGCAGGAACACGACATGTTAGATGCAGTCTTTTGACACAAATATCAGACAGTTGAGTGTGGACGCATTTTAACATACAAAATAGGGACATAGTTTCATTGTTCGGTTTTAATGTTTTAAGAACGTCTTATAGTGCTTATATGTTTATTATTATCAACCCTATCATCAGCATCACCAAAAATCCATTATACAGATGCTTGTTAAAAATGATTGAAAGAAAACACATTCAATCCCAATATTATCCATACTAAACAGTCTCACAGAAATCTGTATCACTACGCTCCAGAAACTCGTTCATTTTGTGCTCAGTTTCACATTATTAGTTGTAAAGTTATTATAATATGGGATAGAATAAATGGGACAATTAAGAGGCAGACTTTTCTTACCATATGCTCTCTAAAAAGGTCTTTTAAAATCTACCTCCTAATTCTACGATATTATTTGCTTCATAAAATCATATCGCTTCATAATATCCTCACTGATGAAGATTAAGCGACCCAAGAGGCGGCATGGGCATGAATAGCCCGTAAATTATCCCCTCACTATTCGAATGTCTTATTGTAAAGTGTTAATAATTGTCTCGCCTCACCAGAGGGTTGAAGGGCTTGAGGAAGCCGCTGATGTCGTTGGTGAGTCCCGGTCTGATCACCAGGAGGGCCAGGTCGTCGGTGTGAACGGCCGCTGAGAAGTCGCACACAGTCTCCCTCTCAGGTGTGATGGTGAACGGACCCACGGCGAACTCCACCTCCTGCTGGTGCATACAGGAAGCCACTCACAAATAGGACTTTTTAGAACATAAGAACATAAGAACAAAGGTAACTGCAGAAGGCCTATTGGCCCATACGAGGCAGCTCCTATTCTATAACCACCCAATCCCACTCATATACTTGTCCAACCCTCGCTTGAAACAATCGAGGGACACCACCTCCACCACGTTACGCGGCAATTGGTTCCACAAATCAACAACCCTGTTACTGAACCAGTGTTTACCCATAGATGTTTCTGTTAAACCATCGAAGAAAAGAGGCAAGAACCACGTAACAGAGTGTCGAGAGAAGATGTGTCAACAACTTGAGGCACTTGGCGTGACGAAGGTGGAATATATTTAATGATTATATATGACAAACTGTTCTAAAGGAGCTGCAGAAAGGCAATTCAAACCATTAACCACTGACGAGGATGAGCACTTCAACGTCTGAGGGAACCCAACTACCACGATGATGTGATTACCGGTGCTCAAGACAGTGTACATATGTGAGGCCCAGAAGGCAAGGTGAAATAATTATCAGGAGAGAGCAATAAGCCATTGCGGCCACATACCACTTGAAAGAGATGAGGGTAACGATTTGGGATAGGACAGGGGAAAAGAATGGTGTCCAACCACTTGGACGGTCGGGGATTGAACGCCGACTTGTAAGAAGCGAGACCCTCGCTCTTGTAGCATATAAATTTAATTAATCATTGATATCTACAAACAAGCAATAAAGACTTAAACAAAAACATGCCTAATAAACTTGCCTGATTTTTTAAAAGGAAATTATATTGATCAGAAATGAAAAGGATGGGATAATAGCATTTTTCTTTACTGTCCATTCTCCACGCTACCCGCCTCTCTATCCACCCTCCCACTTCTTGATCCATCGCTGTATCCACCCTGCAACTCTTTAACCCACACATCTATCCACCATGATACACCTTGACCCACCTCCCTGTGCACCATGCCCATCATACCAGACCAGGATCCATCTGGCTGTTCGGCTCCCCACAGTCCATCTGGAGGTCGAACCAAAATATACCTGAAAATTTTTAATAAAAGTAAATACTTATTATATATATTTGTACCCATTGTTACGACTACTTACAGAACAAAATATAGAAAAAATTATTAATTAAATATTTGCAAATTTCTCCTTAACTCTATAATCTATAATCTATTTTACTACACAAGCATGTACATAAAACACTGGACATTCAAGTTAAGGAAGTAGTTAGCAGTACCACTACTTACTCAAAGTTTATGATCTTGGCGAATAATTTCAGCAGGTTGCCCATGGGTCCATCTATGTTCAAACTCCCGTCATCACAAGTGGTGACCTTGGTGTATGGTACCCACTGCCAGAGAGAGAGAGAGAGACAGAGAGAGAGAGAGAGAGAGAGAGAGAGAGAGAGAGAGAGAGAGAGAGAGAGAGAGAGAGAGAGAGGGGGGGGGAGGGGAAACAGAGACGCGGAATAAGATGAACAGTATAACAAATACAACCCCATACATCCAAACCTAAACACACAATAATTCAAGTAAATAAATCAGTACAGTGTTGTAATGAAGTTTAATTTAAATAGAAAATTGGATATAAAGGATTTCAATTTCAGAATTAGGAATTTATATATATATATATATATATATATATATACATATATATATATATAATAAGTAGCTATTTCGCAAACAAACAGGAACAACAAGACGTATACTGACTGTTTCAACAGCGATCCTGATAACTTTTCGTGTTAAGTTCATTACGGCTGCGTTGGCGCTCCAAGATGTTGTGTCCCGTCTTTGTCTGTTTGATATGGATGAAAATTAGAATGTTGTTGAGTTGTGTGCAGTTATGGCGTGAATGTCTGAATCGTGTGAGATTTTGTCATGAAGATATGTGGGCGATTTGCAAATGTCGTATGGTCTTCGTAAATGTTTGAGATAAGGGTGGCAAGTTGTGAGAATATATATCTAAAAGTGTTTGCTTACAATGATATGCTATTCACAACTTGCAATATGCGGTTCATTTAACTAAAAGTCGTCCAGTATGAGGGAGCAGGACTTAAGTACATAATAGTGCTCAAAATACCATCCTTAAATAGAATACGAACTGAAGATTTATATCGTAAAAGTTTTAATTTAGAAAATATTTAAAATATATTTTTGTTAATAAGGTTGCAGATGCATGGAAAAGTTACCACGTAATATTATGGAAATGAACACACTGGGTAAGATGGCCGCATATCATACAATAGAGTTGACCAGACCACACACTAGAAAGTGAAGGGACGACGACGTTTCGGTCCGTCCTGGACCATTATTAAGTCGATTGTCGACTTGAGAATGGTCCAGGACGGACCGAAACGTCGTCGTCTCTTCAGTCACGTTACTGTGACGTTATTTCATCACACTCGGTAACGTTTAACATGGGAATAGGACAAACAAATGAGCGGAAGTGGTTGGGCAGACATGATTGAAAATTGTTAGACAAACATTGTTCTGACATTCCCAGATCGAGATATTAAATGGAAAAATAATATATAGTTATACATTATTAAAATTAATCTGGTAATTTAGTTAAATGATTGAAAGTTTCTCTTTTATTCATGTTGATATTCATTTGTTTTCTTTCTTTTAATTCCACCGCACTTTTGCATATACAAGTTTATAAATAACATTTATGTTAATTATCAGAACAAATAATTATAATTTGTTTTATCTCTTTCGTCTTAGACACTTAAACACTTCTACTATTCTTATTTTGGTGCAAATTGTGGATACAAACAGATTTCACTTTTAAAGATAAAAATTATACTGCCACAGATATAAATTTTGTTATCACAGACGTCAAGAGTCTGTTTGTAATCTCTCAGTGTAGGTCGCCTGACCGTGGTCTCTCAGTGTAGGTCGCCTGACCGTGGTCTCTCAGTGTAGGTCACCTGACCGTGGTCTCTCAGTGTAGGTCACCTGACCAGGGTCTCTCAGTGTAGGTCGCCTGACCGTGGTCTCTCAGTGTAGGTCGCCTGACCGTGGTCTCTCAGTGTAGGCCGCCTGACCGTGGTCTCCCAGTGTAGGTCACCTGACCGTGGTCTCTCAGTGTAGGTCGCCTGACCGTGGTCTCTCAGTGTAGGTCGCCTGACCGTGGTCTCTCAGTGTAGACCGTCTTTTCCTGGTCATTTCACGTGCACGCAGCGCCTTTGTAATGTATCAAAAAACCAGCGGTGGTTCAGTGTTTCCTCAGACACGTCACTTTGCAACTCATCTCAATTGAAATTATAGCTTCGTTTCCCTCATGTTCGCTTCCTCATCCGAAACGGTTTTCCTTTATTTAAATTTTTGTCTTGAAGTCCCAGTCTTAGCTGTACATATATTTGTGTGGCTATATCTTCGTATTAGCCAACTTATATACGACTTTACCTACTATCCCAAAATTTTCACTTCTATCTCCTTATTATTATTTGAAAACATTTCCATTCTTACTTTGCCTATCTTAAAAGCACAATTTTTTTTATACTTTCCTCGCACATTGAAAGTATCGATATTATTTCAGGCTTTAACCACGGACACATCTTTGCATTCTTGCATCTCGCTTTCTAAGACCATTGGCTGGTAGAGAAGCTCTTCCACTCCGCCTCCACTGTTGTTGGATTACCTCTGCTTCCAATTTTAGCGGAGGATAGGCAATGCCCTGGTCCTGCCTTGCCCCTTATATACACACACACACGGGCTGTGAAACTCCTCTATTGATTCGTTACTACTCAACAATGTAGAGGGATCATCTCGACCCGTTGATTATGCAGGCGCCCCGTCAACCCTGGTCGTCATCTGTCAATAAATATTTGACAGCCAGTGCATCTGTGAGATAAACACACACACACACACACACACACACACACACACACACACACACACACACACACACACACACACACACACACACACACACACACACACACACACACACACACACACACACACACACACACACACACATTACTGAGGGTAATGAGGGAGACAGTAGCCAACCTGCAAGATGATTTAAGGGCAGCAAAGGAGGAGATAAGATACCTAAAGGAGACTCTTCCACAATACCAGGCGCAAACCGTACCCCAGGGAGATGGGAATGCTACTCTGGAGGGGACCACCACAACCCAGATCTCATTTGCTGAAATGCTTAAAAAGAGCCCTGAAGCTAGGTCTGCGGTTAAGGAAGTTGCCATGGAAGTGGCTTCCTCTCAGGAAGCAGCTAGATGTACTAGCCGGCTGATAGAGAGAAATAGAGCAGTAGTAGTAGCAGGCATTGAAGAACAAACAGGGACCAGACCAAAGGAGCGGAGAGACAAGGACAAAAACATGATTAAAGAGATCCTTAAAGAGGTAAGGATGGAGGGAGCTGAGCGAAATGTTGAAAAGGTTTTCAGGCTTGGAAAGTACAACAAGGACAGAGACCGAATGATAAAGGTGGTTTTCATGAGCGAAATCGCGAAAGAGGAACTGCTAGCAAGGAAGTGTTGTCTAAAAGGTGTAGAGAAGTTCAAGAAAATATTCCTGCAGAGGGATATGACAAGGGAAGAGAGAATACGGACAGCAGACGCGAGGAAGGAGCGCAGGGAGAGAGAAGGAAATCAGAGTACCACAACCCAGAACCCTACAATCCCAGAGGGAAGTGGAGAACCCTCCTCAAACAGTGCAACAGCCACAGGGATTGGGGCACCACCCCCACATTCTACCCAACAGACACCCAACCTGCCCCATCCCCTGTCAGCCCCCCACTAAGTACCCACCTAGGGCACCCTCCCCCCACCCACCCCCCTCCCCCCACTCACCCCCCTTCTCCCCCTCACCCCTCTCCCCAGGACCTCCCTTCCCCCCCCATCCCCCATGCCCTCCCTTCTCCCACATGCCTTCCCGTCTCTCCCACCCCCATGCCCTCCCTTCTCCCCCTCCCCCCTAAGCCCCCCACTCTCCCCCACCCCACCTAAGTCTTCCCCTCTCCCCCACTCCCCTAAACCCTCCCCTCTTCCTCACCCACCTCAGCCCTCCCTTTTCCCCCACGCCCTCCACCCTTTTCTCTCCCCCCAAGCCCCCCCATCTCCCCTATCCCCCACAGCCTCTCCTCCCCCCATGCTTCCCCAACCCTCCCTCTCTTACCCACCCCCTGTACCCTCCCCCTCTTATCCACCCCCTGTACCCTCCCCCTCTTATCCACCCCCTGTACCCTCCCCCTCTCCCCCACCACCCCAAGCCCTCCCTCCTCCACCAATCCCCCCGTGCCAGGTCCCCCCAGCTCCCACTCACCCCAGATCCCAAAGGTCCCCCCCAGAAAAGAAGCAGAAGAGAGTCAGTTTCAGGGTGATGTACTCGAACATAGATGGGATCACAAGCAAGACAAGTGAACTAAGGGAAAGAGCACAAGAAGTTAACCCAGATGTAATCGGACTCACTGAAACAAAACTCTCTGGAATCATAACGAATGCCGTGTTTCCCCAGGAGTATACAGTAATAAGGAAAGAGAGGGAAGGTAGAGGAGGAGGCGGAGTGGCCCTACTCATGAGAAGGGAATGGAGTTTTAAGGAGATGGCCATCCCGGGCTGTGAGGAGTTCAGAGACTACATAGCAGGCACCATAACAATGGGAGGACCAAGAATAGTAGTAGCAGTAATATACAACCCTCCACCAAATGACAGGAGACCCAGTCAAGAGTATGAAAACAACAACAAGGCAGTTAACACTATAATTGAGAGGGCAGCCTCTGCTGCCTGTAGAAATAGATCCCACCTGCTCATCATGGGCGACTTCAATCACGGAAAGATTGACTGGGAGAACAAGGAACCGCATGGAGGCGAGGATACGTGGAGAGCCAAACTATTGGAGGTAGTGACAAGCAACTTTTTAACCCAGCATGTCGGAGAACCCACAAGGATGAGAGGAAATGACGAACCAGCAAGACTCGACCTAGTCTTCACTCTGAACGACTCCGACATAAGAGAAATCGGTTTTGAGGACCCAGTAGGAATGAGCGACCACAGTGTACTGGTGTTTGAGTACTTGATTGAAGAAGGGTTATTGAACTCGAGGAGGGATACCGAAACCAAAAGGTTAGCATACCGAAAGGGAAACTATGAGGGGATAAGAAAATTCCTAACAGATATAGCATGGGAAACAGAGCTCAGGGGAAAGACGGCCCAAGATATGATGGATTACATCACGCAGAAGTGCAAGGACGCAGCAAACAAGTTTGTCCCAGTCCAAAAGGAAAACAGAGAAATGAAGATGAGAAACCCATGGTTTAATCAAAGATGTAGGCTAGCTAAGCAGCAAAGCAAAAGGGCATGGAGAAACTATAGGAATAACAGGACACTGGAGAGCAGAGAAAGATACCAGAATGCCAGGAATGAATATGTCAGGATGAGAAGAGAGGCTGAAAGACAATACGAAAATGACATCGCAAGCAAGGCAAAGACTCAGCCTAAATTGTTGCATAGCCACATTAGGAGAAAAACAACAGTAAAGGAACAGGTTATGAGATTAAGGATAGGGGCGGAAGGATTCACTACAAATGACAAGGAAGTGTGTGAGGAATTGAATAAGAAATTCCAGGAGGTCTTCACCTTAGAACAAGGAGAAATTCCAGAGGTAAGTGAGGAAATAGCTAACCAGGAACCACTGGAAGAGTTTGAGATTACCAGTGGGGAAGTAAGGAAGTGTTTACTAGAGTTGGACGTGACGAAGGCTATAGGCCCAGATGGAATCTCCCCTTGGGTTCTAAAGGAAGGAGCAAGAGAACTGAGCCTACCACTCTCCATAGTGTATAACAAATCACTGGCAACAGGGGAACTGCCAGATATTTGGAAAGCAGCTAACGTAGTCCCGATATACAAGAAAGGGGATAGACAGGAGGCACTGAACTACAGGCCAGTGTCCCTAACCTGCATACCATGCAAGCTGATGGAGAAGATTGTGCGAAAAAAACTAGTGGAGCATCTGGAGCGAAGGAACTTTGTAACACAGCATCAACATGGGTTCAGGGATGGCAGGTCCTGCCTCACAGGGTTACTTGAATTCTACGACCAGGCAACAAAAATAAGGCAAGAAAGAGAAGGGTGGGCAGACTGCATATTTTTGGATTGTCAGAAAGCCTTTGATACAGTACCACACAAGAGGCTAGTGCGAAAGTTGGAGATGCAGGCTGGAGTGAGAGGGAAGGTACTCCGGTGGATAGAGGAATACCTAAGCAACAGGAGACAACGAGTCTGTGTGAGGGGTGAGGCCTCAGATTGGCGAGACGTCACAAGTGGAGTCCCGCAGGGGTCAGTCCTTGGACCTATACTGTTTCTGGTATATGTAAATGATCTCCCAGAGGGTATAGATTCGTTCCTCTCAATGTTTGCCGACGATGCAAAAATTATGAGGAGGATTGAAACAGAGGATGATAGTAGGAGGCTACAAGATGACCTGGATAGACTGAGTGAATGGTCCAACAAATGGCTGTTGAAGTTCAACCCGAGTAAATGCAAAGTAATGAAACTAGGCAGTGGAAACAGGAGGCCAGGCACAGGATACAGAATAGGAGATGAAGTACTTAATGAAACCGACAGAGAGAAAGATCTAGGAGTTGATATCACACCAAACCTGTCTCCTGAAGCCCACATAAAGAGAATAACGTCTGCGGCATATGCGAGGCTGGCTAACATCAGAACGGCGTTCAGGAACCTGTGTAAGGAATCATTCAGAATCTTGTACACCACATATGTAAGACCAATCCTGGAGTATGCGGCCCCAGCATGGAGCCCGTACCTTGTCAAGCACAAGACGAAGCTGGAAAAAGTCCAAAGGTATGCTACTAGACTAGTCCCAGAACTAAGAGGCATGAGTTATGAGGAAAGGCTGCGGGAAATGCACCTCACGACACTGGAAGACAGAAGAGTAAGGGGGGACATGATCACAACCTACAAAATCCTCAGGGGAATCGACCGGGTAAACAAGGATGAACTATTCAACACTGGTGGGACGCGAACAAGGGGACACAGGTGGAAGCTGAGTACCCAAATGAGCCACAGAGACGTTAGAAAGAACTTTTTCAGTGTCAGAGTAGTTAGTAAATGGAATGCATTAGGAAGTGATGTGGTGGAGGCTGACTCCATACACAGTTTCAAATGTAGATATGATAGAGCCCAATAGGCTCAGGAATCTGTACACCAGTTGATTGACGGTTGAGAGGCGGGACCAAAGAGCCAGAGCTCAACCCCCGCAAGCACAATTAGGTGAGTACAATTAGGTGAGTACACACACACGCACACACACACCTGTAAATGCTATACATTCACTGCTGAAAGGTGTTTCTTTTTGACAACGTCAAACTTATATTCATAATTCACAGCCTGATCTAAAAATGACAGTAGTGGTAATTAAAGTCAATCAATGCTTCAAACATTTATTACAAACAGATTCGAATTCAGTGTAACAATTGTTTCTGTTAATATCCTTAGAAGTAAAAATATCAAAATCATAATTAAAACCTAATTAATGTTTCAGTTGGGAACATAAACTGAAGGAACCTACAGAGGTGTTACCAAAATAACTCCATTATAATGTCGTTGTGGTAGAATGACAGTAGGATTTGGTACTATTCACTTAATAGAGTACGAAAAAAACTAAATATCAAACTTTAATATTCCCAGGCCTAATATATCGCATACATGTACTTTAATAGGCCTCAGATAGCGTGTATTAGGCCATGGATGGTTACATTAGGTTATGTTTGATTTGCAACATAATACGAATCCTTTTCCGATCTGTTCTACTTCAAAATTACCAAATTCTACTCTCTATCTGTCCATTACGTCAATACATGTAAAATTGTCGACATCGTTACTATCAGTACTATCTAAGCACGAGGACAGGCTGAAATTAGAATAGTTCTACAATGATAATAATAATACCTATAACCATTATGAAGTGTAGTAGACTATTAAGTGTGATCAGGTCTAGTTCATCATTAATTATTAAATTAACGTAACACGATTTCCCTTTGCTTTTATATAATATTGAAAGACTTTTTGTTTACTGCTACCTACCTACATACTTTGTACAACCCTTCCCCTTTAAATATTTATGGTACCTTACTAGTAACCTATACTAAACTCAGCAATAAAATTTAATGTAAATCTCGCTATTAAAGGAATCTGTCTTCTAGGATTTTGGTCGGCAAGACCCATCCTGAGTCAAATGTCATTATGCCTAGTAAAAATACTCTCTTTAGGATGAGTTGTGCATATAGAGGTATAAGGCTTCTGATTGTTGATTAGCCTTTGCTCAGATAATCCCTATTAATATTGATTACGTCTTGCTGAATAGTACGAGGTAACGTGGGAAACATATGATCAAAACCGGTGGCTGTATAGCCGCCGGGATAATTATCACGTTTATAATCGAAGAAAAGCAGTATAGTTAAATACTATAAAGGTATACTCTATAAAGGTATATACTATAAAGCTACAGAAATAGGTAGCAGTTACTATTTTCTCTCTCAGCGTGTTCCACCTGCTTGCTGCCTATACATTAAAGAAGAGTTTTTATACATATCTCCACATTGTTGAGACTTTTCTGTGCGTGTAGCTTCCGTGCATAACCTTTGGTAAACATTATGTTAAGGTGTGTGTGTGTGTGTATGTGTGTGTGTGTGTGTGTGTGTGTGTGTGTGTGTGTGTGTGTGTGTGTGTGTGTGTGTGTGTGTGTGTGTGTGTGTGTGTGTGTGTGTGTGTGTGTGTGTGTGTGTGTGTGTGTGTGTGTGTGTGTGTGTGTGTGTAAACCATCACTCTCGCACTAATTCTTGATCAGAAGCTCAGCAAGAAAGACAAGAAAAGCCAAGCCCCACCCTGGAAATATTACATTGTTACTGTTATTATTAGCATAAGATGAGGAAAGTACAGAAGTAGTCTAGTTATGATAATTATTAATATGATAATTAGCAAAATAATTAATATAATAGCAATTATTTGTTAGATCATTATCAATATTTTTTTTATTATAAATATTTGTTTATAGGTATAACATATTTAGCATATTTTTATCAATATTTGTATTTAGTTTACTTCATTGTTATTTATTAAAGACATAATTGTTTTGTTTACAATAACTATATTATTTTTAACCTTATTTTTAATGAAGACAAAACCCGTATTGGTGCAGATAACAGCAGAAATTACACATGTTATGAACAGTTATCCATATCATTGGGGGATTCTATAATTGTATTTAATTCTAATGTTCATTATTTGCCATTCATCTAAAAGATTATTGTAATTTTTGTTATAGTTGCTGTAATTTGCGATACAATTTTTTTGCTTAAATACGTATAAACTAAAATACAGATTTTTTGTAAAGAATTGAATCGAAGAAAAAAGTTTGTATTATAGTGAAAGGAGCCTGAACAGTTAATAAGGAGGTGGAGCTGCACAGGCGCGCTGCTGGGCTTCACAACTCTTTAGTACTTAAAGGAAAGGCTGAAAATTCTCCTAATATTCGTTTCAAAATCCTTCATAGGCTGTGAGTTTCGAACGTCATGTTACTTGACGTTTTGGTCTGTATCTGAGACTATTACGTTTGTTTGTGAACCAAAACGTTTGTGGAGAGGATGAAGCCCTATAAAGTCTGCTTATGACAGGAAGGACAACTGATGAATCAGTTAACAATACGGTATCTGCTCTCTGTATGCACCATGAGTATTAATATTTATATAAATATATATAGAAAAAAAAGAGTTAACGAAATACTTCGTTGTCACAGTCTTACCCGACGCGAGCAGCAGGAATGAACCAGAGAAGGCTTCGAAACCCAAAGCTGAGATTCCACCCTTTATATCCGCAGTTGGAGGCTTGAGGCAGAGGCTTGTGTTGGTAATCTGATCCCCCAGCCACTTGTTCATGATCCCAGACTCCTTCAGGAAGGACAGACTGTGGAAACATAGATGGTATCCTAAATATAGTTTTCCTGCAGGTAATGACAAAATACAATCGTTGATTTGTGTCTGTAATCTCCTTACAGAACCTAAGGAGTGTTACTGGTGGCTGAATAATAAATCAAACGCAGTTCATTCTATTCCAGTGGTTTCGTGCAAGTATATACGACGATTCACACACACGTTCATAGAGAAAAATTCTTAATGGTCTAAATAGTATACATAATTTAACTACCTCTGTCAGTTCACTTTACGTAAACTTGCTTACCCAGCAGCAGCAATACAGATTTTTCTTTGTAACTATAAACCTGGAAATGTCAAGTTTACTAAAGCAGTGCATTAAGGAGTTATCAAGAAAGTATCCAGTGAGATATATATTGGATAATATATCCTACTGGATATACCTCACACTAATATATAATGTTCGGTATCTCGGTGTCTGGGACCAAGAAATCTAAATTACGTGCGGTACTTACATTTTATTTGCCCTGGGAAGATACTTGGATTTAGTCTTGAATGCAATACCCAGAATTCCACTGCTATAGGCCTTCTCCCGCGAGATGTATAGATGACACTTTCCAGTTGTGCTGCAACATAGGTCTACAGATTAACTTATTGTACTCCAAAATAATAATTTATTAAATAAACATTATCTTACTTTCTATAATACCAGGCTATCTATCCAACACATATTTTGTTCCATTTTTTCCATTATGTGCTATATTGTGGGCGGATCTCTCGTGTGTAGTTGTGTCGTATGTGCTTGAGTTGTTGGTGTTTTTCCCCGTGTGTGATTGGGGGTTATGTGTAGTTGTGTGCTGCTCGTATATTTGTGTGTCATATGTAGCATGTAGCATGTTGGCTATGTTCTGTGAACCGCATATTGCGTGATAAGTATGCCACATGTCCAAAGTGTCGTGTGCGTGTTATATGTCAACTCCTGCTATATCATTTTCTAAGTTAGGTTGTAAATTGAAGCATAATTTTTGTTAAGCATATTATAGCTGTAATGAGGGAGGGAGTTATGAGGAGAAAGCACCAAACCATTATGACTATATAGCTCTAATGAGGAGAAACCTATAATTTTATAATAAAGAGCATTGTACGAGTTATACTTCCATGTCATGCTCGTTAAGTTTAAACATGTTCGTACACTCCATCGTCATTGTTTGAAAATGAGTAACAACTCATTTTCAATTACTATTGAGCAACTAAGAGTTTCTGAATAGTAATAGTGTAACTGGTTGCCTGGAAATATAACTTTAATACTAAAACGAAAATCGATTTAATTCTATATACATAATATCTTTATTAGAAATATTGATGAATCGAGGTACTTATGTTAAGAGGAGCAATATTACAGCACCCTGGTCTTAAGAGGATCAATATTACAGCACCCTTGTCTTAAGAGGAGCAATATTACAGCACCCTGGTCTTAAGAGGAGCTATATTACAGCACCCTGGCTTAAGATTAGCAATATTACAGCACCCTGGTGTTAAGAGGAGCAATATTACAGCACCCTGGTCTTAAGAGGAGCAATATTACAGCACCCTGGTCTTAAAAGGAGCAATATTACAGCACCCTGGTCTTAAGAGGAGCAATATTACAGCACCCTGGTCTTAAGATTAGCAATATTACAGCACCCTGGTCTTAAGAGGAGCAATATTACAGCACCCTGGTCTTAAGAGGAGCAATATTACAGCACCCTGGTCTTAAGAGGAGCAATATTACAGCACCCTGGGGTTAGGTGAATTAAAGTAGCCTTGTGTTAAGAGGAATAATATTACCAGAGTCGTGGTGCTTGGCGCGTGGTCTCACCTGAAGTCCCAGGACATGGCCTTCATCATGGTGGTGCGGTCACATATGGCAGCGAAGTGGCCTTGGGCGACGTCCTGACGAGCCGCCCAGCAGTCCTGGAAGGTGCCGGCCTTCTTGGCGAAAACCTTCCTGCCCAAGACATCCTGAGCCTCCTGTGGATTATAAAGCACTCTAATGGAAATTTATATATACTTGCATATATGGTAGGCTTAAAACAAAGGGTTACATTACCGAAAAAAATGTACATAATATGTATAAACATATTTCAAAACATCTGTTTCGACACATGAGGTCTCCCGTTATCAGGAATTATTTTGTTGTGTTGAACGTTACCTCAAAAAAGGCATACATCATGGAGCCGGCCTCCAGCCGCCAGGGTAAGCGAGTCTGGGCCACCAGGTCAGGTAGAGAGTCTATGGGGATGGTGACCCGAGGCACCGTCAGCATGGCCGTGAGGATGCCACTGTAGCAGGACGTGAACACAAGTGAAGCCAGAAGCCACGTGGTCACTAAGAGTCTACCGCTATCCTTCTTCGGCAGCCACTTAGGGCCTGTGGGAGGCAGAAAGGAAGGAACAGTTGGATGACTCTGTAATTTGAGGCGATCCACAGGGATAATGCCCACTGCAATCTCCTAATAAATCTACACTCTCTATAAAAAAATATTGATGTTCCTGTTTTGTAACCAATTCATTTTCTAACATTGTAACAATACAGCTGAATAAAGTGAGGCTTATAGGTCCAAAAATAGATATCTCGAATTTCATTTAGTCTCTTTTCCGAGGCCTGGATCTCCTCAAATGCACCAGAGGTGGTACCACTCTCTCTCTCTCTCTCTCTCTTTCTCTCTAATAAGGCTAATCTAATAAAATGTCCAAACTGGCCTGGATAATAGAGCGACGGCTTATTGCATTACAGGATTAGTTCAATGTTCCGATGATCATTACTGTTCATATAAACTGCAATCTGCACTTTAATTTGTAATAGCATTAAATTTACATGTATCATTGAGGACTGAGCTTTGATTTGTAAGATATGATCCCACGGTCACATCCACCAGGCTATATACAATACTATACACGGCTAGAATGGCCGTGGATATTAAAATACATTATTTTATAGCTTTATGAGAAAAATACAACTTACCAGCTGCTCTGAAGTAAAGTTTATGACAAAAAATAACCAAAGATTTTAGGCAAATTTTTCATAAAAAGTTAATATAAACAGGTACTGACTAGTTATGGCATTAATATCTTAGATATTAACATCACAAATAATTAATATCTTAGACACTAATGTCTCAAAGTAATAATTGGTATTACATGTATATTATATATATAAAGATGGAGGTGAATCCTTGTAAACAACCTGAGAGACTCACTCTCATTCAGGAGCGACTGAACAGCCCACATGGTAGCCCTGGACCAGCTGGTGCGAGCAGTGTAGTGGGTGACCACCTGGGCCTCCCTCCTGTCTAGGGCCTCCCACCTGTCTAGGCCCTCCCACCTGTCTAGGGCCTCCCACCTGTCTAGGCCCTCCCGAGCGAGTACGACAAGTCCTAGGCTCAGCACCGCCAGCAGCCACACCTGCAGGTAGTGCTTGGTAAAAACTATTATTACGATAATCATACAATGCGAAATGATTAGTTTTCTAATACGCATTTCTCAGATCATTCTGCATTTGCAATGCAACATGTTCCATGTAATAACTGAGAAGGAAATGTATGTTTGTAGATAAAAAGACTGCAAATTTTGGCAAATTTCCCAAAACTATGTTAATTGATGAAGGGAAACCACACTCCACCTTACTATTTTATAAAAAAATAATTTACCAGCATTATAGACAAAAATATAGTATTATAAAAAAATATACTTACTAGAAGTGTGAATGGTTTTAAAAAGCCGGTAACGTCGCTCTGGACCTCGGGACGGACCATAAGTATGGCCTGACTGTCGCTGTAGACAGGGTCCGTGAAGTCACAGACGCTGGCTCTGTCAGGCGTTACGAAGAAAGGGGCAATAGCCAACTCAACCACCTGGCGACCAAGATGGAAGGAACATCGTGAGACACTTTTAATCAGATCTAAATTTCATGAAGTATCTCCACACACTAGAAAGTGAAGGGACGACGACGTTTCGGTCCGTCCTGGACCATTGAGAATGGTCCAGGACGGACCGAAACGTCGTCGTCCCTTTACTTTCTAGTGTGTGGTTTGGTCAACATATTTCAGCCACGTTATCGTGACTCCTCGTCGACATAAAGTATCTCGTTTCTCGGTGTGTATTCACCTACAGATTACTTTAGTTCTGAGCTGTGTTAATGACTTAAGTTATGCTGATGCTTGGATAGTGAACTTTTAGAGTGTCCTTAACAGTTTGATCGATCACAATAAGTCAAAACCCTTAAAATCAAACTATGTTTAATAACAATGTGCTATAACAATAGTTCTTATTGTTTTACTTATTATTGTTGTTGTAGTTCTTCATGTCCTTGTTGTTCTTCTTCCAAGTTAGCAAAACCTTCAGTGTTGTAAGTTTGAACTCTCCTTTTTATGTATAGTTATCTGTAGCTATGTGGGGATTCTTAATTTTTATTGAAAACTCTTGTGTTCTTAACAATTTGGAATTTGTAGAGTGCTACGCATTCCTTAGAATCAGGGTCATAGCCTACCCTACGTAAATAAGTTACTTTCATTGCGCATTATAATAATTATTATTATTTTAAGTTTATATGAGAAAAATATACAATATACTTTATGCGTTTCAATTTGTGTTACAAGGGTTAACAGTTCTGTTTTTTATTTTCCCGCACTTGATTAACACTAGTTTAATTTCGTTGTTGATGTTCTTATTATCATTATAACACTGTTGTTATCATACATCATTATTAATAATCATAGTTTTAAAATTATTATTGTTATTGATATAATTGATTTTAAGAATAATAATTTTATTTAAATTTGTTTTGTTATTATAAATTTTGTGAGCATTCACTTGCTAGTTATTTTGCATATTGCAAGATTGGGCTGATTTTATAGCAGTACTAGTATAAAGTACCAGATTGTATTAAACACTCTTTTGTGTTATTGGTCAATCTTTTTCGAGATTAAATCTTTGACGTGACTATGTTTTGCTTGCTATCCTGTTGCAAAATGGAAGAGAACTATATTCTGTCCATATTTTGGATAGCATGAGCGTTGAAATTGTTTTCTTCGATTAAACAGAAAATCTGTTTAATAGTCACATGTTGCACATCATCTTGTTGGCATTGTTATGAGAGGAAGTTGTACAGAAGAATGAACAGAAAGAATACACAAAGCTGATTGAAGTAAAATAAGAAGAGCTGGAAAAACATAATGTTTAATTGCCAATCTAATTATTTGATATACTGTAAAAGTATTAAAATATATTTGATTATAGTTTATACTTTAGTTTTTCAAAAAACTATTATCCAACGTGGCCAAGAACTTACGTCTCGTTGAAGCATCCCAAGCATCCCTGTCCAGGACCCGTTGCGTAAAGGTCCTCCCCAGAGGTTGTCTGGTGCATACTGCAGCTCGTACCTGATGGAGTACAGAGGCAAGGTCATTGTCCAGAGAATGGCCCTTCGTCCAATGAATTTGTGAACCTGTACAGTAGTTAGTTGAGAGTTGTGAGGCGGGACACACGAGCTGAAGCTTCACCTACCCTCTAGGCACAATTAGGTGAGTATAATTAGATGACTACACGCACACACACACACACACACACACACACACACACACACACACACACACACACACACACACACACACACACACACACACACACACACACACACACACACACACACACACACACACACACACACACAGATGGACACGATGCAAATGTTCTTTCAAGATTTCTTCAAGAAGCAGGAGCTAAACGGCCTAAGACTGAAAGAAATGAATATTAAAACTCTGCGAAACTGAAAGAAGAGAGGTGATATGGTTGAGACACACAAGATACTCAAAGGTAATTGATAAAGTCGACCAAAATAAATTCCGGTTAAGGAGGAATTGGGCAACAAGACATGGGTCATAATTGATGATTCGGATACGGAAATAAGGTTGAACAACACATGCAGCATCTCGAATAAATGAGAGAAGAAAAAGACTGCTCGAATTAATTGAATGAATCGAACTACTCTTAAAAAATTCGGGGACTACGAACTAAAACTCAATCCAGCATATACAATTGGGGGTGTAGAAATAGCCTAAGCTACTCTATCCCTTTGAGATGTATTTTTTTATTGTCTCAATAAACATACTTGAACTTGAACTTGAACATATACAATTAGTTGAGATCTCACAAACGTACACATACGCATATATACTGTCAAAATTACTTTAATTAGCGGTACTTACTCAAAATTCATCATCTCAGCAAAGATATCAAGAACGTTTCGCATGGGTCCCTCGATTTGGATCTTGCCGTCCCCCAGACTAATGACCTTGGAGTACGGCACCCACTGAGAGGAAGATATCCTGGTAGATAAGTCGGCAGGGATAATGGTACTAAATCTGCTACTACTACTTCTGTAACTGGTACTATGACTTATACCACTACTAGTACAGCTGCTACTAGTTCAAGTAGAAGCATAATACTACTAAAATAACATTACAATGAATAAAATACTGACAAAAATATTGATACAGTTTTTAGTCCTTGTATTTTGAGGGAACAAATAATGAATTAGCTAAGTGGCTGCTAATGTGAATGTCGTTGACAGATGTGGAAGAGAGCCGTCAAATCTTTCATTGTAACGTAATAAAACATAGAAAATAGCAATAAACATGACGGTGACCATATTTTCACTATCTAGACGCTGACCCTAGTCTTCTCACTATCCAGAAAATAGGCCTAGTGCTGTCACTATCCAGACATTGATTATTATCGAAATTTCAACACTATATCAAGTATTAACACTAACATGACTGTCGCATTGTTCCTAGAACTACAAGTTACTTGAGATAATAAATGATATAGGACTAGGCCTTAGGCAAGATATATTTACCTCTCCTGCAGCTATCTTCAAATAAGTCTTCTGATTGGACACAGTTGTGGATAACGCCATGCTTGGCCTTCCCCTTATCTTGGACCTGGTATTCCTCCACAGTGACGCTCCTTGTCTCTAAATGTTCGGATTCAGTCTAAACCGAGTCTTCCTTTCTACTAGTCTCCCTTTGCTGCTAGACGTTCCTGCTTCAGTCAAGAACGAATCTGCCTCTCTACTGACGCTCCTTGACTGTGCTTCACACACTTCTGTACAGCACTTGGTGATATATTGAAGGAGTCTTTTGTTGAGAATTTTTAAAACCAAACTTTTTTCTGCTGTTGTTCCCGTCGGACTGTTTGACGGATCACTTGAAGTACAATTTGATGGCAAATTTCCTGAAAAGTTTCGTTCAATATATGCTATTAAATATGTTCCTGTATTTTGGTAGGTGTGATTTTATATGCATTTATATATGTGCAACTTTATATGTATTTGCGAATATAGGTATATATATCTCACAGATAGTACGTATGTATGTATATATGTATGTATGTATTTATGTATACTTACATGTATATTTGTATTTATGTATACTTACATATATATATGTATTTATGTATGCATTATATATATGTATGTATGAAAACGTTATTGAAATCATGTATATATGTGTATATTTCTCAACTTTTCCCCTTTCTGTTGCATTGAAAATATTGAAAATAATATTTTATATTCCGAAAATAATTTTATACATTTTGAAAATTGTGATTGGCAGTACAGTCGAATTCGTTCTAGAAACCGACTGTACTGCCAATCATAATGTACAGTACAATCGGAAATTCAGGGTTCGAATCCCGAGGAAGATGTGACAAAAAGTTGGGTGCGTTTTCTATCATCTAATTTCCCTGTTTACCTAGCCGTAAAAAGGTACCCAGAGGTTAGTCAGCATGTTGTAGGGTTGCATCCTGGGTAAGGTCAGTGATTCGACTCTGTGAGGGACCTCAATACAAGCCTAACACACACACACACACACACACACACACACACACACACACACACACACACACACACACACACACACACACACACACACACACACACACACACACACACACACACACACACACACACATATATATATATATATATATATATATATATATATATATATATATATATATATATATACACTGGCTGCCTGTCCCCCATTCCACCCACCTCCCGGACACAATAAATTATAATAAAAGTATTACATCCTTTTACAATTCTTTTGTATAATCCTCTATAACCTTCTTAGAATTCGAAATGAACTGCAATAAGGTTTTATATATATATATATATATATATATATATATATATATATATATATATATATATATATATATATATATATATATATATATATATATTCATATGGTAAACGAACTATTACACATTCGTCAGCATGCGTTGCACTATAACATCTCACACTATAACCAGTGTAAACCAGGTTTACACTGGTTATAGTTAGTCATGAACTATGGTCAAGGGTAAAACATACCTTCTGGTTGTTCAAGTAAGCTATTGTGTCCTCAATACCCTTCCCGTGGCTGATCGGCCATAAGCCCAAAACCAAAGCTATGAACTGTTGTCTTTTCCCAACTCATCCACCAAATATTCTCTAGCTCGTCTCACTCACCTGTCTGACCTGCTCAGCTCCTGGAAGACAAGTGCAATGAAGGCGTGATCTCATCTGATGCTGCTCATAGATCGTTAGACTCTCGTGACGGGATGCGTTAACAATGTAGCAGCGTGATGATGCCTGTCACTTATGCACGTGCTCATCTCTATCCACCTGTCACTTTTCCATCAATATTTGTATATCAGTGAAAACCTGAGTAGTCATCACACGGTCTTCGCGTATCTGATTTGGTTTTTGAAATCTAGTAGATCGATTTGTTGATATTTTCCCCCTAATCAAAATGGTCTAGAAGTATTGGCCTCTTATATGCAGCATAGATCTATAACTTATTGTTTAATTGGTTGTGAATGGCATAGTTCTAAATTGATTATAATGATCAGCAAAAAGAACCAAGCCCCAACACGCCATTAAGCCCAAAATGAGGAATCGTTAGTCGCTGAATATGAAGACAAGTATTTATTAAACCAATTCGAATGTGCATAAGCAGTATTACTATTAATCATATTTTCATAGATATGTTTCAAAATAATTATCAGTGGCCTGAATTAAAAATATTTAGTTTCGTTGGACTTAAATTGTTTGACTATAGTGTTAAGCCTTGGGGGGTTACTATGGAATGATTTCGGGGCTCAACGTCCCCATGGCCCGGTCCTTGACCCGGCCTCATGGTTGCTGGATTGATCAACCAGGCTGTTGGATGCGGCTGCTCGCAGCCAATGCAATTATTGTTGCATATCAGGAGTGATACGTCTTAAGAAAATTTAATATTGTCACCATTAGATACATAAATGTAAATCAAAAGTAATCTACAGATTATTCTCTGATTAATATATTAGGCGTAGGGAGTACGAACAAAATCTGGCCTTTACTCTGTGAAAAATGCAGCTAAATACACAAGGAAACTTTGAAGTTGATCGACTTTCAAGCCTCGCCCGTATGTTAAAGGATGAATAATTCTTGTCAATGTGCAGTTAATTCCACCAAGAAGAGGAACTCTACTGAATCACTAGAAGGTGATGACCTCCCAGGGAGGTCATATGTAGCAGTAGACACTACTACCAGGCCCAGAGCTGTTCTCTCTCACACAGGTTGCTCCGATGGACAACCAGGTACTTCGGAACGTCCACCAGGTCCTTCGCAACGTCCACCAGGTCCTTCGCAACGTTCACCAGGTCCTTCGGAACGTCCACCAGGTCCTTCGGAACGTCCACCAGGTCCTTCGCAACGTTCACCAGGTCCTTCGGAACGTCCACCAGGTCCTTCGGAACGTCCACCAGGACCTTCGCAACGTTCACCAGGTCCAGTGACTGTGGTGGGCCACAGGTACCAGTGTTGTTATAATAAATCTACGATGGTCGTATTGAATGTATGTGCGTAAGTGTTTATGAGTTTTGTGTATGTTTCAGACCTATATTTGGTATAGGAAGTTTGGGTAATAAGAATTGTTTAATAAGATGAATCAACGCTCCTGTTGTCACTACCGTTGATACTCTAGTTTTTATAGTTACCTCATGCTGCCTTTTACCGTTGCTGCCTTTTACCGTTGCTGCCGTTTACCGATGCTGCCGTTTACCGATGCTTCTGTTCACAGTTGCTGCCGTTCACAGTTGCTGCCTTTTACAGTTGCTGCCGTTTACCGATGCTGCCGTTTACCGTTGCTGTCGTTCATCGTTGCTGCCGTTACAGCAACTGCCGTTAGTACATGCTGCCTTTTATTGCTGCTGCCGCTATAAGTGTCTGCTGCTGCCGCATTAAGTGTCTGCTGCTGCCGCATTAAGTGTCTGCTGCTGCCGCATTAAGTGTCTGCTGCTGCCGCATTAAGTGTCTGCTGCTGCCGCATTAAGTGTCTGCTGCTGCCGCATTAAGTGTCTGCTGCTGCCGCATTAAGTGTCTGCTGCTGCCGCATTAAGTGTCTGCTGCTGCCTTAAATGTCATCTCTGCCAGCATTGTCCATTCCGACGTCATCGTCATAGCTAACTTCTTTAAAGCCATCAATGTTCTATGAAAAATACTATTTACTTACATTGTTTTATTAGTATACATTTTATTTTGTCCTGATCCCGAGCGAAATAATAATATGCCATAATTTACACAAAAATAAATAGCGTAATAGAAAATGACATTTTCCATTCATTGTACAAAATGTCTTGAAATGTATTAAGATAGAATACTATCTATTCTACGATAGATCGAAGTTAAATTTGGGTCGTCATAGCAACATGGGATGTAAATAAAACAAAAACATTGTTTTGGAGCCAGTAAGTTGATGAGTTGTACACGTGATCTGATGTATAGTGTACGTGGTTAGACGTGCCACGTACTTTTGGTGACGAGCAGTGTATTTGTGGTGACGTGCAGTGTATTTGTGGTGACGAGCAGTGTATTTGTGGTGACGAGCAGTGTATTTGTGGTGACGTGCAATGTATTTGTGGTGACGTGCAGTGTATTTGTGGTGACGTGCAGTGTATTTGTGGTGACGAGCAGTGTATTTGTGGTGACGAACAGTGTATTTGTGGTGACGTGCAGTGTATTTGTGGTGACGCGCAGTGTATTTGTGGTGACGTGCAGTGTATTTGTGGTGACGTGCAGTGTATTTGTGGTGACGAGCAGTGTATTTGTGGTGACGAGCAGTGTATTTGTGGTGACGTGCAGTGTATTTGTGGTGACGTGCAGTGTATTTGTGGTGACGAGCAGTGTATTTGTGGTGACGAGCAGTGTATTTGTGGTGACGTGCAGTGTATTTGTGGTGACGAACAGTGTATTTGTGATGACGTGCAGTGTATTTGTGGTGACGAGCAGTGTATTTGTGGTGACGTGCAGTGTATTTGTGGTGACGTGCAGTGTACGTGGTATGACGTATAGTAAAAGTGGCCTGACATACAGTGTACGGACACTTACGATAACGTACGTGATCTGAAGTACACTGTACGTGTTGACCAGACCACACACTAGAAGGTGAAGGGACGACGACGTTTCGGTCCGTCCTGGACCATTCTCAAGCCGATTGTGATGAGGGAAGATTGATAAAGATTAAGCCACCCAAGAGGTAACACGGCATGAGGGCATGAATAACCCGTAAATGATATTGAAGTTGTTGTTGTTGTTATAGATTCAGCTTCTCGGAATAAAAAGTTGCAAGTAGCACGGGCTATGGTGAGCCCGTAGTGTACTTACCTGGTACAGGAGCAGGGAAGGAAGGGGGAGGCAATAAATAGGCAACACAGAGGTGAGGAGAAGAAAATCTTGAAAACCGTCTGCATATAGAGTACGTGGTCTTGCATATCATGCTAGCCTAATAATTCTTTCGTAGCAGCATAACTCATGCAACATGCATCACACTAAAAAATCATTCACATATTTAAAGCGTCACTTGCTTTAAAGCAACGGTAATGGCAGTAATAACATAAACTAATAGAGAAGAATGCGTACTAAAACGTTCCATATATTTATAAATGATTCTCAGATGTTGCAAGTCATTGATGATACGTTGTTTTCAACTCCAGTGGTTCTTACCCTCTATAAGTCTCAGTCTCCGTTTTCCGACCAGGTTGAAAAATATTTGTCTCAAAATGATTGTCATTGATATATCATGCCAGTGAGATTTTATTATGAGCTGAGAGTGTGTGAACGCCATTACTGGAGGCACAAGTAAGGTCGTGTTGGCTATAAAATCCTGGTTGGGCCCCGGTTTGGGGTCTCTAGAACCTGCCAAAGAACTCAGTAGAGTTCAGTAGGGTTTTTCAACATTTGTACCACCGTGGCCGAATCAGTTAAGGCAGCCGTCTGGGAATCAGTCACTGGTGCCATGATCACGGTACTATGTACGTTTAAGGGTGATCCTGATTGGCATGGGTTCAAATCTTGGGTGGGTCAAATATGAGTTCTTAGTTATCTATGGCTTGCGCGTTCATGCGGCATTCTTTCTCAATATATATATATATATAGATATATATATCATCAACACAAGACAGAACACGAAACAATGGGTATTGAATAGAAGTGATTGCAGAAAGCCTATTGGTCCATATTTCTTGATGCTTCTATATTGGAGCGGAGTCTTGAGGTGGGTAGAATATAGTTGTGCATTAATTGGCTGTTGATTGCTGGTGTTGACTTCTTGATGTGTAGTGCCTCGCAAACGTCAAGCCGCCTGCTATCGCTGTATCTATCGATGATTTCTGTGTTGTTTACTAGGATTTCTCTGGCGATGGTTTGGTTGTGGGAAGAGATTATATGTTCCTTAATGGAGCCCTGTTGCTTATGCATCGTTAAACGCCTAGAAAGAGATGTTGTTGTCTTGCCTATATACTGGGTTTTTTGGAGCTTACGTAAGCTCCAAAAAATTAAAATTAGGAATTAAAAATTAGGAATTTTCTTATCTCCTCATAGTTTCCCTTTCGTTATGCTAACCTTTTCGGTATCCCTCCTCCAGTTCAATAACCCTTCTTCAATCAGGTACTCAAACACCAGTACACTGTGGTCGCTCATTCCTACTGGGGCCTCAAAACCGATTTCTCCTATGTCGGAGTCGTTCAGAGTGGAGACCAGGTCGAGTTTTGCTGGTTCGTCATTTCCCGTGTGTGTGTGTGTTTACTAGTTGTGTTTTTGCGGGGGTTGAGCTTTGCTCTTTCGGCCCGCCTCTCAACTGTCAATCAACTGTTTACTAACTACTTTTTTTTTTTTTTTCCGACACCACACACACACACACACACCCCCCAGGTAGCAGCCCGTGACAGCTGACTAACTCCCAGGTACCTATTTACTGCTAGGAAACAGGGGCACTTAGGGTGAAAGAAACTTTGCCCATTTGTTTCTGCCTCGTGCGGGAATCGAACCCGCGCCACAGAATTACGAGTCCTGCGCGCTATCCACCCACCAGGCTACGAGGCCCCTGTGTGTGTGTGTGTGTGTGTGTGTGTGTGTGTGTGTGTGTGTGTGTGTGTGTGTGTGTGTGTGTGTGTGTGTGTGTGTGTGTGTGTGTGTGTGTGTGTGTGTGTGTGTGTGTGTGTGTGTGTGTGTGTGTGTGTGTGTTTGTGTAGCAATCATATAATTGTACTTACTTAATTGTGCTTGCGGGGATTGAGCTCTGGCTCATTGGTCATGCCTCTCAACCGTCAATCAACAGGTGTACAAGTTCCTGAGCCTATTGGGCTCTATCATATCTACAGTTGAAGCTGTGTTTGGAGTCAGCCTCCACCCATCACTTCCTAATGCATTCCATATGTCTACTACTCTGACACTGAAAAAATTCTTTCTAACTTCTGTATGGTTCATTTGGGCACTCAATTTCATGTGTGTGTGTGTGTGTGTGTGTGTGTGTGTGTGTGTGTGTGTGTGTGTGTGTGTGTGTGTGTGTGTGTGTGTGTGTGTGTGTGTGTGTGTGTGTGTGTGTGTGTGTGTGTGTGTGTGTGTGTGTGTGTGTGTGTGTGTGTGTGTGCGCGTGAGTGCGTGCGTGCGTGTGTGCGTGCGTGTGTGTTTGTTTGTTTGTGTGTGTGTGAGTGTGTGTGTGTGTGTGTGTGTGTGTGTGTGTGTGTGTGTGTGTGTGTGTGTGTGTGTGTGTGTGTGTGTGTGTGTGTGTGTGTGTGTGTGTGTGTGTGTGTGTGTGTGTGTGTGTGTTTGTATCTACGAAGAACAGAAAATAATAGCTACGAGATCTTGTGTGTTTCAACACACAATTGTGAGAAGTGAACTAAACGTCAAGAAAATAAAGCTCAGTTAGTCCGTGATGCTCTTGAGACTCGATCTTTAGTGTGTTATTACCTGTGTTTGCCAGAGTGTCTGAACACGTCGGAATTGTTGCTTACTCTCCATTGTGATATATCTGAATGACACGTTTATTTTAAGATTTTCCATCAGGACTAAGATGTACCAGACACAGATGTTTTCTGCTACTAGTCTTTATAACATATGATATCTTCTCTCATCTATGTGTTTCACCTCATAACTCGTTGTAAAAAATTTGTTATTTAGCGTTAATATCTGTTCTTCGGTCAACTGTATCAGAAATTTTAAATTCAACTATCAAAGCTATTAATTGTAAAGTGTTTACGTCAGTCCCCTGCGACATGCAAATCATATTCCATCAAAATACGATTCTGTAACATGCTAGACTTCTCGTAACTTTAATGACGATTGGTTTTCGCCTCACAAGACAGGTTCAAGCACAAGACATCAAACTCTTCCTCACCCGAGTACAAGACTCTTGTAACCCTGCTGTTTAATATGTAAAATCTCAATTCTTCATCCTTGAATATTTAAGATAGCCCGAGGAGGACTTGTAAAGTTGCTGTCGAGACAGATTTACATCATTAATCATATAATCACGCTTGAAAAACTCAACCAATGATTATAAAATGAGTGTGTATTGACCGTGGCAGCGCAGGTGAGGTGTGAGCACGAGAGGCTGGGTGTTGCGCAGGTTAATTATGCAGAAGATGAGAGGGCGCAGGTGCGGTGAGTAGCCAATGAGAAGGCTAGGGATTGGGTAGGTGAATACACACAAACACACACACATTCACGTACGCACACAAACACACACAGACACACACACACATATACATGCACACACACGTGGAGTAGATATCAGGGAACAACAACATAGATACACTAGAGTAAACGAATACACAGGAATCCTGAGAGCGGCAAAGAAGAAATATAAGAACGATATTTCATCCAAAGCCATAGATCAGCCTAAATTACTACAGAGCCTCATGAGAAAGATGTCGATAAAAGAACAAGTGATCAGGCTATACAAGAGAGAGGAGGAGATCACACAACGAATAAGAGACTTCGTAAAGAACTCAATAAAAGTCTCAAGGAAATATTTAAGATAGAACCAGAGATGGCCACAGATCTAATTCTTCTAATGGAACGGACACTAACTAGAAGACTGGTCGAAATAGAAGTGAAAGCAAAAGACGTAAAGAAACAAATAGAAGAGCTGCAGGTGATGCAAGCCACAGATCATGACAATATCTCACCATGGATCCTAGCATAGACAGCTGCGACCTGCAGCGTTGTGTGTACCACTTGCTATAGTCTTCAATTCCTCGGCTGAAATAGGGAAACTTGCTAACATTTGGAGATGGTAAATATACTACTTATATGCGAGAAAGGAAGATGAAAGGGGCGACTGAACTACAGACTGGCATCACTATCAAGCATTTCCCTGTAAGATATTAGAGGTACTGATTAAAAGAAGGCTCCTTTAACATATATATATTTTGTATCCAAGCATTAAGAAAGCCTGCTTCACCAACTTATTAGAGTTCTACGGAGAAATGACAACAATTAAACAGAAGACAGAGAGAGAGAGAGAGAGAGAGGACTGGGCAGACTGCATTTTTACTGGACTGCCAGAAAGCTTTTGATATTTCTCCTCACTAGAGATTGCTTTGCAAACTTGAAAATGAGGCTGAAAAGTACTAAAGTTGGTGAAGAAGTACCTTTCATAATAAGAAGATAGAGGTGAGCTATCAGAATAGAGAGAGGTAACGAGTGGAGTACCTCATATATCGAACTAAAGCCCAACCTATTCCTAATATATGTAAGTGATCTAGCAGGGGAAGTAAGCTCATTCTTATCCATCTTTGCTAACGATGCTAATCTAACGAGACAAGCCAGAGATGAGGTGGTCTGCAATACATTATATGATGACAGACAATCTCCAGAAATGGTCTGAGAAATGGCTACTAAACTTTAACCTTGATAAATGCAAGGTTATGAGGATAGGAAATTGAGATAGAAGACCTCAAATAGAGTTCAGAATGAAGGGAAAGCAACATCTAACTTTTGAAAATGAGAAAAAACTTAGGAGGAGACATAACTGGAGATCTAATGCCAGAATCCGCAGAAAAACGAGGCAGTATATCAAGCTGACAAACGCTTGGTTATCCTTCAAGAAACTTGAACAAAAAGTCCTTCCAAGAGCTGTATACATCCTTTGTGAGACCTGTTATTAAGTATGCTGCCCCACCAAGGAACCCCTATCTAACGAATCACAAAAGAAAAAAGGAAACGGTCCAAAAATATGCAGAGGCTTGTTTCTGAACTAATAGGACTAATCTATGAAGAAAGACCGAAGGAACTGGACCTCACTTCACTAGAGGAAAGAAGGAATAAAGGAATAGAGCAGACGTGATAACGACGTACAAGATACAAAGGGGGTTGACAAAGTAGACATAGCAGCAATGCTCAAATAAAGGAGCAGTGGAACGAGAGGACATAACTGGAAACTGGAAAAACAGATGAGTCACAGAAACGAAAGAACTTTTTCAATCTACAAGTCCAAGATAAGTGGAAGTGACTAGATGAGGAAGTTGTTCAGGGCAATTCGATACATAGCTTTAAATGTAAATATAAAAAAAAATGAGTGAATTGAACCACTGCACTGAACCAATGATTGCTGAAAGGCGGAACTTAAAAGCAGACACACACACACACACACACACACACACACACACACACACACACACACACACACACACACACACACACACACACACACACACACACACACACACACACACACACACACACACACACACACACACACACACACACACACACACACACACACACACACACACACACACACACACACACACACACACACACACACACACACACACACACATATTCACGCCCATATTCGCGAACAAAGTCTTTGATATTGAATTTGTCTTCCTGCACACATTTTCTAATGATTACATATAATAATGATATTTAGGAAGTGTTACTTTGTTTATGATATATGTTTCCTGTTATTCATTGATTATGCAATGAGCATATGTTTCATCATTCTAATCTAATGTATATTAAAACTGAAATTAAAATACGTTTATTGATATATAAACACACACAAAGTGATGAGGTAGCTAAGGCTATTTTCTACCCGTTCAATACAAATTGTTCATATATTTACACACACATCACGAGCAATCGACATATTACTGAACATTCTGGTTGATAAACAACTGCATTTCTTAATATGATGCATATGTTTTGCCAAAATGACTTCTCACTTTACCTGCAAGCTGCAGGTATTTTCTGCTGTCCACCTGTTCCCTTCAGTCACAACCGTCATGAATCAGTTATGAATTCAGTCTCTGAGCTTGTGTCTGACTACTACAACTACTATTTCTACTACATTAACAGCTTCAGCTAATGTACTTCAAGAACAACAAACTATCACAACTTCTACTTCTGCAACAACATCGTTATAACCTAATAATAATAATAATAATAATAATAATAATAATAATAATAATAATAAAAATAATAATAATAATAATAATACTTAGTATTATTATTAGTTTTATTATTATTATTATATAATAATTAAGCCTGAAAATAGTACTTGCACTATTAAATTACTTTCAACAATAAAAACAACAAGTAACTGATTGGATTTATTCAAAAGTAAATATTCAATAAATGTGTATAACTTATATAGTTAAACCTGTGTTACAGATAACTTATATAGATAAAACCCGCAGAGTTTCAGGCTCAAGCGCGGTATAACTTTCAAAAAATTTAATTTTTTAATACAAGTAACGTAAACATGTAAAACAAATAATAAAAATTATGTTAATAACGATAATAATTACAATAAAAATAATTACAGTACAAATAATTATATTAAAGTAATTATTATAATAGTAATTATTAAAATAGTAATATTATAAACCAAATTTAAATGATATACACTAGCTAATACATATATTTGTTGATATGATTTCCTTAAAACATTGGAAAGTCAGCATTTAGTTGCACTCATTTAAAAGCCTCATTTCAATATTAAAATAATTATTCTCAATATAATAAAGCAGAACTTGACAAGCTCCAACCCACGCCTCGTAGCCTTACATGCTAAGGGTGCTAGTAAATATATAAACAAACTCATCTTGGAAATGTAACTTTGTCTGACGCTCTCAGCAAGACTCAGTGATGCCGAGGACATGCAAGTAAAATATTGAAGGAGGAGAAATACCAACTAAGGAACAGGTCTTGCGAGGCCTCAAACAGTCCCGGTGGCATGGTCCCTCGTTGTCAGAGGTCAACGAGAGACAGCAATGCCTCTCGTAGTCCCAGGTCAACGGTGGCATGGTCCCTCGTTGTCAGAGGTCAACGAGAGACAACAATGTCTCTCGTTGTCCCAGGACAACAGTGTTAAGGTTAAGTATGGATTAAGGCCAACAAATCGTCACTGTTCAGTGTAACTCGAAGCCAACACAGTGGCAGAGTCCTACTTGGCCCCAGACAAAATAAATTGGGTTAAGTACAATGAAGTATTGAGAAGTTATCATAGAGTGCCTTTGATGTTCATTAATAACAAAAAACTATAACAGGTAACAATGTTAATATATATGGATATTAAATACTGAAAAACCAAAGAAAATTAGGGAAATTACAACAAGAAACGAGTGAGTAGAATGATAATGATTTGCAATAAAATATGTGAATAAATAAATGATTTACTGAAGCTATGAGAAGATTAATCTTATCAAAAGAAAAAACACGCCCTCGTACTAATTAATTTTTGCTTACGAATTGGAACATATTAACGCGGCAAAATATAAAACGGCAGCTTCTGGTAAATTTCTGGACGATCATTAAATTTCGAGAAAACAATTAGAACTCTCCATCAAGCGAGAGGAGGAAGACAGCTGAGGATAGTCTAGAGACAGAGCACAAGACAGCTGAGGATAGTCTTGATAGAGCACAAGGCAGCTGAGGATAGTCAAGAGATAGAGCACAAGACAGCTGAGGATAGTCAAGAGATAGAGCACAAGACAGCTGAGGATAGTCTAGAGAGAGCACAAGACAGCTGAGGATAGTCTAGAGATAAAGCACAAGACAGCTGAAGATAGTCAAGAGATAGAGCACAAGACAGCTGAAGATAGTCAAGAGATAGAACACAAGACAGCTGAGGATAGTCAAGAGATAGAGCACAAGACAGCTGAAGATAGTCAAGAGATAGAACACAAGACAGCTGAGGATAGTCTAGAGATAGAGCACAAGACAGCTGAGGATAGTCAAGAGAAAGAGGACAAGGCGGCCCAGGGAGTGGATGGATCTAGGTCATCAAGACAGACAGCGAGACACAGGTGGGAGTATTTTGTGAGTCTCGCAGATACTTCGCCCTCAGACACTGGCTCAGGCAAAGGTTACCTAAAAATATTCTCGAGATGTCATCTAAAGATTGAATTGTATCCACGTTGT